ACTTCAAGGATGACTCACAGTAGGGGAATTTATTCCTTGAGGTCTGTTCACACGAGGGGAATTCATATGAAACGCATATAAAGAAATATTGTAAACAGAACTGTGTAGAAAAGGGTGCACACACATACAAAAGAAGGTATCATGCATACAGTTAACTGAATTATTCATTCCCCTTGTGAATTTGATGTTTATTGTGATTTTCGTAACTCAAACATGAAGGGTGGACTGGTTGAAATAAGGCCTTCGTTGAAAACTTTTAGATGCAAGTTTTATTTTGTCAATTTCTCAAGAAAAATTAATAAGAACGAATCAATTTTGCACATACTGTAATTCAAAAATTACAAAACTGGGTGAGGGTATGAATGAATTATTTAGTTGTGAACTGTATAGTTGACAGAAAGGCTGGCCAACCTTCAGTCCATCAGTAAGTGCTCATGATACGGCCATCCTATACGGTACACGTAGTAGGATATACGTTCACATTAAAAGTCGACCCTGATTCTTCATGGAATTTTTGCTCGAAATGATGCTGAAAGCCTGAAACTTTTATTTTGCTATACGATGTTCAGAGCAGAAAACTTTCATTACTTATCGTACATATCGTACAGCTATACGCTGAAATTTGGGAGTCTGAAAGGGGGGGGTGGAGTTATGTACCAAAAAACTATTGAGATGTGTGGGAGCTAGTACAAAGGGTTAGGTTGAGTGAGCGCAGACAATATTAAACCACATGATCATGATCAAGTTTTCCAATGGCTTAAATAGCACAGGTAAATGGGAGCATGGATAACATATATGTACAAGCCTTGGCTTAGCATGTACATACATGTACATGTAGGTAAACAAGAGCATGGACCATATAAGTGGTGGCGTAACTACAGGCTATGGGGGGGGGGGGGGTGGCTGCATCTAATTATATAGGGCATACAATCCTCATCGAGCAGCAGAAAAAAGTTGAGAAGCTAAAAGAAAAATGAAGATGGGAAAAAGAATGAGAAGCAAAGATGCTACGACCCCTCTCCAAGGCTTCCACACCCTCCCCGACCTTCCAGTTCCTCCTCCTCCCCCCTCTCTTTCCCCCTCTCTCTGTCTCTCTCTCAGTCTAACTCTTCACCCCACCCCCTTTGAATTCTCTCTCACAGAGTTTTCCTGCAAAGTCCTTGCATATACATGTATGTACATTTACATAGTACATACCGGTACATTAAAATTTGTAGGCTGTAAATAATGTATAGACCCGCGATTCAATAACAAAACTTGGACATAATCCAACTTGACAAAAACACATCCATATTGCTGTACATGTAGTTCCTTCGCTTGTTTAAGGTACAAATATCTTTCCTTCCTGTCGTTTACTTTCCCTCGCTCTCTAAAGCTAGACACGTACAGGAAACGGAAGGTCTTTTCAGTCCTTGTATGCTTTCATGATGTAAGCAATGCTTTGATAAAAAATCAAACACCAAAAGAGTGACTTGCTACTTGCTAGATACGTTTGGCAGAGTTCCTAAAAATGTGTTTTTTTACTCCTTCACATAATGTACATTTGTAGGTCTACAATGTGTGTCATGACTATATCCACAAGGATCCTCCCCCAAAGAGAAAAAAGGGGGAAAAACAACAGAATTTTCATGTCAATGTTACTCTAAAAGCAACAACAACAGTGCTTCCTTGCTCTTGCTTACAAAGTCACATAACTCATCTCTTTCATATTTCTCTTTATATACCTCATTTTAAGATTCTTTACTAATCCTGTCTTCTGATTGGTTGAAAATGCAGTCATGTTCTTAACCATGCCCGCTAATTGAAATTCATAGTCATTTTTCCCGGCTCTACCGGTTTATATCCATTTTTCATAGCACTTTTTCCATGGCTGTGAAACGTGACGTCATTTTGCTGCGATCCCCATTTTGGTTTACGTGTTACCGTATAAGTTTCTTTTGTGCGATGACCGATGCGCAATACCGTTAACGGTGTTTGAGTGCAATTCAATTTTGGTCGCTGCATTCAGGCGACGAATCTACCAATCCACGCAGCGCAGACGACCGATCGCCATTTTGTGTACTAGTCTCGATCGCAAAATACTGGGGTTTTTTGTTTCCAATTTTTTGTCAATAAAGAGGCAAAATGGAGGACACAGCTATGCCAAGATTTCAACTTATGGATGACATTCAGCTGCAAGACTTAATTGATTCTGCTGATAGCAAAAATACGAAGTATGCAGTAAAATACGGCATTAAAATATTTGAAGAGTTCTTGCGAAATGTCAACACGGACCTCGGAGTTTGGTATTCCCTGTTCTACTGGAGCACAGCTTGTTGGATTTCATACTGTACACAAGTTATTGTTGGTGTTAATATTCATGACTTCAAAGAGATGGAAACCTAAATGGGTGAGTCAACATTTTCCTTTTTTTCAGTATATAAAATATATATTGACTGCTTTTAATATTCGAGGCATAGTTGTTTCTATAGGGTCTCGGGAAACTCACAACCTGCTATGACCCCGCGGCGCAAGCGCCTTGGGGTCATAGCAGGTTGTGAGTTTCCCTTGACCCTATAGAAACCACTATGCCTCTCAAAGCAGTCAATATATCCTTATTATTTTCCAGAGGTGGGAGAGGGGGGGGGGGGGAGAGGGGGGAGGGGGGTAGCCTATTTATCTTAGTACAATGTACTGTATGTGCACCGCAAACCATATCCTTCCACCTGCACCTGCACATACTTTTCTTTCAACTGACTCATTTGTAAACCATATAAAATAAAGATTTCACATAAATTCATCCTTCCTTCAACTAAAAACAGTCATCTTTTTTATAATTTATACTTAATTTGACACAATTGGGGCTCGGAGCTCCCCCAACATAACACAAGATGCAAACAACTTGAGAATATATTAGTAGACATATGCCATAATGGGGGAGGTACAGTACCGGTATATGGAATTCCTAGCTAGGATGATGCCTTAGAAAAATAAATTATTATTACTATTAATGTCTGTAACATATTTTTAGCAAATTCATTCCTTGAAGAAAAATACAGACACGTACTTCCAGGAGCATCATAAGAAGGGGGGGGGGGGTGGAGCAGCAATTTTGAAAATTAATGACTGGCTTAATAATAATGCCCTTTTCTCCCTCTCCTTCTCAATAAAATCAATCATTCTAGCCTTCAACATCAAACACTAGGAATATCTTGAAGACAAATACCAGGAATATAGTGTTTTTTCTATGCTTCTGATAAACAGAGATATTCAGAAGAAAGATGGAAACCAGATGTAATGATTGACTTGGATGTGTACTCTTTTTTTTTAAAATTCCTTTCTCTTTCTCAAACATAAATTAAAAACAAACCTGCCAACCTTCCACAGCAAAAATAATGAATCTCTCAAGGAATTTATCTAAAATGGAAAAGACAAACTACAAAATATTCCATCCTTTACAAAAAATATTCAGAAATGGAGAGGAACCTACAGTACATGTAAGATACTCATCATCAGTTTAATGGTTAAAATGAGGAATCCTTCCTCTAAAATATGATCAGTTCGCAGCAATATGCAGCCAAAGTGAATTCAAGTAGAAGGCCTTTGCCGACCATTGATTTTTCTTTTATTTGAGATGGGAAATATTATTTCTAGCTTTCGAGTACAATTTTGTAGCCTTGACCATCTCAACATTTGGATTTTCCTTTCTGCCACAAAGCATGCAGTCAACCCGTTAGTACAGCAGGAGTGAATATATATACTCTTTTCTCTCTTTTCCCGCACTTTTAGATGAAATACTGACTATTCTTCCTCCCTAATACAGAAAGGGTAATGTTTCAAAGGACTCAGGGGGAGTCATTCCATATTCAATAAACAATCAAAATGGTCTGTTTGATTCAATATTTACGCTCGTGTCATTCAATACAATGAACAATGTACATGTATACACACAGGTCTACTACCAGCACATAATAACTGTCTACATGTATTTGTATTCTCCTGATGATACCGCATAGGTCTCATATTTCAGTAATAAAAGGAAATATAAAACATGTAGCCTATAAATCATCACGTGTTTGCATGTATACGGTGTATTTTCATTTATATTACCTACTTTTTCCTGACGTAGACATAGCAGAAGTAGATATTATCACATACCTGTATAGGCCTAATAATCAAATATCATATTAAATCACTTATCACACAGAAGTACATGTAGATATTACTAGTACAATATGTACTCGACAAAATATCAGTAAACGATCTTTATCAGGGTTAAAAAATGGTTGACAATGTATGAATTACACACTGTATATTAATTTATATATACTGTGTATTTTATATTCAGCAATGGTACACTGTATGTACAGACAGAAAGCAAACATGTATGATTGCACACCTGCTGTTATCAGGGGCATTTCCCAATAACATTTTTATGAACTTCAGATCCCTCTGCATCTATTTCATTGTACATCAACCCTTGCACTACTCACTGAGCTGCCAAGTTTGTTTTTTTACCCCCCCCCCCCTTGCTTGGAGGTATAGCACATTCCTTTATTCTCTGTTTAGACGAATGCATTCCCCTAATTTTCCTCTTCAGCTTTCACTCTGCCCTGCTTGAAACAGTATCTCCATTTTAGCTCTTGAATAAAATTCATCTATTTGTTTTATACCTTACACAACACTTACAAATGTACCATTAATTTGGGGATTCCCCTTAAATGGAATGTACACTAGTGCAAAGTAAACACAAACATCAATTCAAACATTACTGTATTACAATGTACATGTACCTGTAGGTATTGTCCATCATGCAAGGATACAAAAGCATTTACAGCCGCAGTAACATTCCTTAGTATGACAGACCTGACACTGTTGACAATTAATGAAATGGCCCAATCACCAAACCCACCTAAAGTTTTATGCATCACATCGTAATTTTTGAAGCCCTTTTAATAGTTCTTTACATTCAAATTGTGGAAAATGTATATCAATTGATCTGATAAAAAACTTCATTTTACCTTTCTTTTGGCTTCTTTTAACATCTTGGTATATTCCTCTTTGTGTTTCTCTTCCTCTTCTGGATTCTTGGCTGGTAGATATCTGTTAAAGTATGAATAAATGGACATACATTACGAATCGTTAACATTTATCCCCAATTAAGTAATGTATTCTTTGACATTTTTATCGAAATTCTGGTTGATATGTACATGTAATGTAAATTGCCATATGTACTTAATTTGTTTATATAAGTACATTAAATGTCAAAAGGAAATTACCAAACCCTGTAAATAAATATATCTTCACACTAATAATGTTAATGACTGATGACATTGAAACATCCAAAGCAAATACAATACCGCCCAGAAGTTATTGGGCATGTTTTTGCGGGGCGGGTTTTCCCCGATGGGTATTTCACGATTAAATCACGATAAAATATCGATGAAATACTGATAGAATCACGATAAAAATCACGATAATTTGCACACTAGTGTATGGTTTCCTCTATCGGGGGATGCGCGTAACCCGCCTAATCCCCCGATAGTCTATCGTGTTTCATGGTGCGCGTATTTGCAACTAGTCAAGTCATGTCCTCTGCAAGCGCATGTCTTGCTCATCGCGCGCGCTAAGTCTTGATAATTTGTACGCGCAGTTCCGTATGTGTCTTTGTTTACGTCACAATAGAAAGTATTCACGAGTAAACATTACACACAGTTAAATACTAGTAAAAGCCGTCGCTAAATCACCGACACTGGGCGCGGATAAGCATCGGGTACTGATGCGGTGAAGCAACGAGTAGATCTAACTATATTCAAGTTGCAAAAACTTGCATGATTTGCATTCATTGAAATTATAATTGTGAGCACAATACCTTTCATTTTCACTGCCATATTTTCTGTTCGCCTACTCCAAATATGCGTATCTCATTCCACAACCATGAAAGTGGTGAATAAATTCAATTCAATTCAATTCAACCTCCACCAAATAAAATAAAAATATTCCCAAGATCGTCGCTTCAGAAAACACGCACGCGATCAGATTCTTTCATTTGCCCTATCAGTATCACTGACAAGACTGCCGTAAGAAGGGTCTCCACCCCTAAAAAAGAAAACGTCCAATCATGGACATTCTTGCCTACTGGTCACGCGTAAAAGTTGCCAGGTGGACTAGTAACCAAGGTTACCAAAACACGCGTAAATAAACATTTTTAGTCGACGGCATTGGATGATTGATAAATAATAAAATCTGTAAAAATGGCATGGATCAATTACTGTAACTGTCTTCGGAGTGTGGATTAGACCAGAGTTGAATTAACAGGAAAACATGTAGGAGAGAGAGAGATAATTGAGAGGGAGGTAGTGTTGAGCTGGATATAGATGAAGATATTATTCGAGAAGGAAAGGAGTTATGATCGAGGTCAGGATGGGGAAAAAAAACAAATAAAATGGATAATTATCTACTTAACAGGTTTGACTAAATATAAGTAGGCAAGACACCAATACGTTAGTCTATTTTCCGTACACCTTTCTACTTCCACTCCTTATTCATCGACACTAGACGAAAACGTTCATGGGTGGAGAAATGTGACAAAGAAGAGGGTGAGAGCATGGACCTACGTATTTGGAGAGCAAGAGAGACGAGAGGAAATCCCACTAGTATCTTCACGAGGGGGGGGGGGGGGGGGGGAACTACACGTAATAAGAGAGAGAGAGAGAGAGAGAGAGAGAGAAAGAAAAATGTTTGATGGGAGCGCAGGCTAGCGAAATCATACTAAGGGAGACATTTACGTACATTTACTTTTGAGAAATAAACAGTAGGATTATGTCTGCCACATGCGTTGAGAGCTGGCTCCCCTCGGCTGACACATCGTAAATAACAAAGATAACATTCAATGACATTTTTAACCGAAGATTGAAAACTAGGTCATTCACACCTCTTTTTCTTTTTATCATTTATAATTACTTTGTACGATGGCGATGTTAAAAAATAGGATGTTGGAAAGGAAGAAAAAAAGTTGGATCGTAGATTAAATGACATTGATTTGCAAAACTGGAACGATGAAGTTCATGAAGTTCATGTTTCAATTACAGAATTTTTAAACAGGAAATCGGTTTGGAAGAATATATGTTAAAGTTGGATTTCAGTGATAGAACATCTCTTTATAAATATCGATGTGGTAATAGTAAGCTGCCCTGCCGTCTGCACCTGACCGTCACTAAAGTCAGCCTCTAGAAATTGTAGAATTGTGTTCCATATGTGATCTCAAAGTACAAGATGATGCATTTCATTATGTTCTCGTATGTCCAGCCTTTGGCTTTGATTAACATTCGCAATTATTTGTTAAGAGATAGTTAGTCAATTTAAGATTAAGAATTAAAACAAACCTTTCAACCTTTTAGATTCATTCATGGTTTGCTGCTTCGCATTAGAATATGATATAGATTTTATTTTTAAAAGCAGACCCGTATCACTGTCATTCGCGAAGTTGTGTTTTATTTTTGTGGACATTTTTACAATAATAGCTCCTGTTCTAGTCCCTCTAACGTTTATTCGCGCTAATAATATTTATAATTAATTTGCCTGATGTTGCATTCAATTCATTTATGGTTTGCTGCTTCGCAATCGGATATAAAATAAATGATAATTTTAAAAGCAAACTCGTATCATTGGCGACGCAGGGGGGGGGGGGGGTGGAGGGGAGAAGAGAAGAAAAGAAAAGGAAGGAGGGGAAAAGGAAGAAGAGTAAATCTAAAAATCAAATCAAATAGACAGACGAAACAAGCAGAGAACTTCATCAATCGGAAATTCTAATTTTTTCGCCAATGAATTGAATGTTTAAATGACAAGAGAGCTTACGTACATTTCATATTGTGTTTCAAGTGTTTCTAAACAATGGGTTTGGAGTCAAGGTGTCTGGCAGCATGTGGTTATCTCAGAAGTTAGTATAAACAGATCATGTTCGCGCCGTAAGATCACGTGATCATAGTAGTGATGATTGAACCTTCGAGAGAAAACTATAAGCGCGTGCATTTTTTTAAATCTTTACCACATCATCTTTTCTGTTTTTTTATTTCTTTGTTTTACCTTTTCTCGAAATATAAATATGTGTATGTATTCCCTTCGCTTGTTCCTTACGGTTCAAGGAGAATTACCCCCTTGCACAATCACCCCCCTTTGTTTAATTCCTTGTTTTTCTCGCTATCAATTCGATCAATCATTTTTTTTGCTGTTTATCCTTATTTCTTACCATATGTAGATCTTTGTTAAGCCGTTATTATTTATTATTATTATTATCATTATTAATCATTCTTCTGGTTTATTCCTTCGTAAATGTGTTTTAATACTTTATGTTTTTCTTAGATTTCTTTCTATCATTTTATATTTTGTCCTCAATCCTCGTGTATTTCTTTGTTATTTCCTTATGTATTACTCCAATTTTGATTACGGGAGCTTGCCAACCCAGGTATGTGTACATGTATTTAGCTTGCATGCAAACTGAATGTCATAAAATGGAGATCGAGATCGAGGGGTTTTCCAATTCCGGGAATCCCTGAGCGCGCGCACTACATATCAAATTTCAACTACTTTGTGGACCACGAGGTACATTGGCTGATCGAGATCGCGTTGCTTTTGTTTTTGATAATACTGGTTTATGAAAATGGCGTTTGCGGTCTGTGGCAAAATTTGTAATGTGTAGGGACAGGGTCAACCGATTGGTATTATGAATGAATAAAATAATAATATTTTTTTTATTATTTGGAGTTACGGATCCTTTATTTATTCTGTTAATTTTCAATTCTCTATCTCTCTTAATTATCTTTGTCTGATATATTTCACTCTTCACTCCCTTCCCTCTTTCTTTTCTGTCCCTGTCACGCTAACGGTAACGGTACCCCTCCGCCTCTTCTCGCCTCTTCTCTCCTCTTCCCTTAATTATTCACGCCTTCCTGAAAATCTCACAACATACACATAATTCTTCTAGAAATAACAGCCGCATTTATCCATAAATTCTAAGATTCTACCCACATATTAGATCTGATATGTACATGTAATGATGAATACTCTCGATTAGACAGAAATAACCGTCTGATATGGGTCATTACTCTTTAATAAATCTTACATTTGTCAACATTCCTCATACACAGACGGTGACCCTTACGGCTCGCAGGACGGGGGGGGGGGGGGGGGGTGAGCCTTTCTTTTCTTCCCGTTTTTCCTTATTTAGATCTAATTTTCCGATCAATAAATCGGACATAAGAAATTATGTATATTTCTTAAAATTCCTTCAATTTTAATCAAGTAATTGCAATGGCGAAATTTAGGCGAATTAGATCACGCGTTTATGAATATCAAAATATCACCGGGTCAAGCCGTGCTGACTCGTACGCACATGTAGGTATCGGACGTCCGGAAAAAAAAGAGCATTCATTAACTCAAATCAAGATGGCTGCACAACAAATAATGTTAACGACAAGTCTTTCTCGGATTAAACATAAGCGGAATAGCCGTCGATATTAGAGACTGAAGCTTTCGGTCTAACTCTTGATTTACTCTCGGATCTCCTCTGCCATGATATGAGCTATCCCAAACATTCCTCCCCCCTCAAATAAAAAAAAGATGTCGTATCGTGGGAAAGGCCAATTAGACACCTGGTTCTTGGTTTCTGCACTTCTCTCATCGGATAACTTTTCTCTCCGCATGCGCAATCCCAAACATTCCCCGTAGCACATTGTCTCGTGTATTTATGCATGGAATGAAAAGAGCATTCATTCACGCTTTTGTGATGTAATAATCAAGTGATTGTGACGTCAGTGGCAAGCGCGCATCGGTATGTTTGAGGATGCGCAGGCTCAGCAAGCGTATAAATACAGCATGCTGTGCGCAGTTCTATCGTGATATAAAGGAAATATCACGATATGCATCGGGGATTTAGCGAGTTGATCAAGTTGAGGAAAAAAATCATGATAGAGATGAATACAAATCACGATGTTTCTCACGATAAAAACACGATAAAACCCGTCTACAATCACGCTAACCTCCTATCGTGAAACACGATCCCGCATGCCCAATAACTTCTGGGCGGTATTGTACCCGGT